AATCAATCATTCGATAAGGTTCTGACCTTTTTCTAGACAATCATTGAGACTAGGGGATCCTTTTTGTTTGGCCGAGGCATCAAACACTGGCCTGATTCGTGTAGTACTGTTTTCTTTTACTACGTGTCGATGTGGTAGATAATGGCATGTTACATCAATTTCGCTTTTTGGTACTTCTTCTATGATGCCTTCTTGTTCCCATTCACTAAACACTTCTCCATAAGCATCATAAAGTTTCTCAGCTTTTAGTCGTTTTACTGTAGAAGCTAATCTCTTTACAGCTAAAGTCATAGTTATCTTTTAACGGTAGATAAAGGGTAGATGGTTATCAAGCCATGGCAAGCTGACTTGAAAACGCCCCTCTTCGTTCACCTTTACAGTAGACAAGAAATGATCTCTTGCTTCTTCTTGAAGTTCCAGTTTATTTTTCTTCTCTGATGGATCTAGAATTCCAAGTGAATCTAGAGACCATAGATCGGATATCAATATTTCCTTATTCAACATGGATGTGACGAGCAGTGCGGAATTGTCCGAGATCTCACGCATACCATTTTTCCCAAAAAAGAGTCCAACCAAGTTTAGTTTCTATAGCAGCAAGGCCTGAAGTAAGCAATTTAAATCCTCCGGTCATCAACTTGCCTGCAATGTCAGCGCCGATAAGTATTTCTATTGGTACATTACTATCGTCGCATACGGAAATATTGTTCTCTTTAAGCTCTCGAATCCACTCGCCTTTAGCAACTGGTGGTATACTTCGACAAAAAATATCTTGGCTAAGAGCTTTGAAGTTACAATGATAAGTTCCATCCGTTTTAGACAAGAACACTGTAAAAACATCGTGGTTTATGACATCAGTACATGACCCACCAAATAATGAATGGCTCAATCTTTCTTTAGATGTACTCTCAAATTTCATTTCATCTGCAGTGCTTTTTAAAATATAAGATCTTTGTGAAGCTGAATCGATAATAGCACGAGCCTGGCGCTTTCTATCTCGCCCTTTCAATGTAACCGTTAAAGTTTGCAAAAACACATTTGTTGTTCTCGCCAAATTGGCGAGGGTTTCATCTCGTTCAGGTACTGCATCCGTATTTTCATCCTTATTCGTGCTAACAGGAACTGGAGATTTTGATTCAGCTTGGATATTTCTACATAAAAGTATGTGGTGTTTCTTCCCACAAATCACACACGATGTTCGTTTTTTACATTTAGCTATTACATGTTTTCTGTCTAAACATAAAAAAAGCAACTGCGACTATTTAGAACTGCTTTTTGCCTTTCCTCAGACGTCATCTTTCTTGCTTTAACGCAATCACCAGATGCATGATTTCCAGCACAAAAAAATACATCCAGTTGAATTTTGTTCAGATGTTGCTATTAGAGTAGAAGCAGAAGGTGTTTTGGAAAATTCTCCACGGTTTTTGAAACCAAAGTGTTTAGCATTCCCAGGCTTAGGTGTCTGATATTTAGTAAAGCACTGAGTAGCTATAGATACTCTCTCTTCACCTTCAATTTCATCGAGCAAAAATGAAAGCAAACCATCTAAATCCATGCGATGTGTTGACGCATTTTTCTCTTTTTGCTCACTACTTTCAGATTCTCTCTGACTGCGATTAATAACTCGGAATCTTTGCCATGCTCTTAATGTATCATCCGGCAATGACGATTCGACTAGAGGATATAACATCGCCGCATATTTATCTCTAGCAACACCCAGAACTTCTAACGCTCTTAGTTTCGATTCTAAGTTATCATAGAGTTTTCGTAATGAAAATTTCTGCTGAGAGTTTTTTAATAATACTAACGAAAGTAGATCTCTAACATAGACTTCTATAAGAAGGTCTTCTTTCCCAAAACGCGATTGCAGTTGTTCTAAAGCTTTACTATAACTTTCGCCACCGGGCGGAAAGCTTTTGATTAACTCTTCAGCAGATGACCCTTTTTCCATAGACTGCAATAAATATGCAAATTTATCATGATCATCTAAATTGGGATCATTATCGATCTTTTTAAACTGGCCCCAAAATCCTAACCAGCTTTTAATATTCCCATCAAAAATCGGAAGTTTAAGCTTAGGATAACGTATAGTAGCATTTTGAGTTAAGCTTTCATTACAACAGAACCGTTTTCCTTTTCAGCTAAGAAGCGAAACTAATTTGCTTTCTACCATTCTCCACTTATCAATATACAGCATTCTGACTCATCAAACTCATTATTTATCACAGCTTCATCTTTTTCAATTTTAATCAATTCTTCTCTATAAGTCTGTTCTATTTCAATCATAGGTTTTGCTTTGTCCTCAAACTAATTTAAGTTTCGAAATTTTTCCGTCTAAAGATAAATCATTTTCCATTTCTTCTCAAAATCATTTAAAGCTTTTGTAAACAATCTCCTAAATTGAGATCGTTTGCACTTCAAAACATCCATTATAAATAAACGAAAGAATTCTACTTACAGATAACAGTCCAGTCAGCGGACGCCAAATGTTCAAAAAATTCTCACCAAATTTGTTACCTCAAGAACTATTTATTACTCGAAAATAACTATCTATATCTCTTTAGTTATTTAAGACTCTACAATAATTAAATAGTTCTTTTATTCATACTCTCAAATGATGAAAAACAAAAGTACACTTAACTCTGTAAAAAGAACAACATCATAGTATGTTGCCATTCTCTGAAACATAAACTGTTACAAAACATAGATAATAATAACATGAATAGATAATGAATAAAAAAAACCTATAGAGTAAAGAAAATGATTACATCTGCTTGAAGCTCGTGCAATATTACTCAGAAGCTGCAGTCACAAAAATATTAGTCAAAATATTGTTCATCAGATGATACACGGCACCATGGAAGATAGTTTTTACTCTTATTTTGTGAATTTATGTGGCGATGCCAGTATACAGATTCTAGTTCAGATAATTTTATGAAGTTTTTGGATGCTCTTGAGGAATTTTGGTTGACTGAAGACATTTTAATTCATAAATAAGGTAAATAGATATTTCCTTTGTGTACTGCAAAGATGAATTTCCTTTTTTATGTTATTTGTGTGATTTAAAATGTAGTTTACTGAGATTATATATATATTTTTTTTTGTTAGCTGCTCCTTTTTTTAAGTGAATATAGTTCGATTTGTACATGGACAATGTCAAGGGAGTGCACAATATGTAGTTTGAGCAATTCTTTGTCTTGTTATTTTGGCTTTGTGCAAAAATCGCCACTACACAAGCCAAAATAACAAGTCAATGGATTGCACAAACTCGGTATCCATGTACCGCCAAAAATCGCCAATTTTCGCCAAGGGGTACTCGTAAATATATTTTTACCCAGTATTTTATTTATTTAATTTACCATTCCTAAGAACATCCCATGGTGTTCTAGAATTTGTAATTTTCAAAATTAAGCTCTCACTGCGTGAGAATTAATGATAGAAAATTTCAGATCCTTACAAGGTAATATCAATAAATACTACTGAATGTACATAATCTCACAGAATTAATAATGATAATCAAATTATTGCCCATGGGCAAATCATTTTAACCAGGCTTTTATTTAACCAAGCAAATAAATTATGTCTCAAAAGCATTATTATCGAATAGGAAGTTTATTACCATACACATACGAATGTTTAATTAAAAATCTTGAAGACTAAAATCAGAAAACATTTTAAATTTTAGGAAAAAATCAAGCAAACATTGTATACAAAAAGATATTTCACTCAACAATCATATTGTGCATTTTATTTGTTAAAACTAAAAAGTGTTTTATGCTTCATATTAACTAATGCTTGCTATTTTATGTTTCATATTTAACTAAAGCTTTCTTACAAATTAAAAAATATATACGAGGGTTGGAACTTTAATAGTGGCAACTATTTATTTACAAGGAATACAAAAGTGATTCATGTCACCATGTTTTACAGTCCTTCAATATAGTCGCCAGCATTGTGTACAACCCGTTTCCAACGATGTGGAAGTTGCAGAATATCTGTAGCAGCGCCTGTTTTGTTGATACTTTGAATGGACTGGTCTACTGCCGCAAGAATCTCAGGAACAGATTGGAAGCAAGTGCCACGAAGTGGTTCTTTCATCTTAGGAATTAAGTCATAGTAACAAGTGCTTAGATCTGGGGAGTATAGTGGATGGTAAAGCACTTCCCAGCCCCATCGCTTGAACAAATCAGTCACAGCTTGCGCTGCATGCGGCCAAGCATTGTCATGCAAAATGAGAGGAGCGTTCTGCAGAAAGTGTCGGCGTTTTTTTCTCAAAGCTGGTCGGAGATTGTGCTCCTTCGCACTCATAGCGCTCCAGGTGGTTTCGGGCAGCATCGTATCGTAGCCATTTCTGCATTTCCCGTCAATTGATGAGGAACCCATCGTGAAGCAATTTTTCTCATGGACAGGCGTTCCTTCAGAATGTGCAGCACAGTCGTATGCGCTAATCCTGTTTGTCCGGCCAGCCGACGAATCGTTTGGCGGCGATCACTGTCCATTAGTGCGGCAACAGCTTGCACATCTGCATCGCTGACACTCGGACGACCTGGCTGCAACATGTCTGCCACGTTTTGGCGTCCTTCATTGAATGCTTTCACCCATCTTGCTACGGTTCTCTAAGGCAATGCAGATTCCCCGCAAGCCTCTTGAAGCCCTTGATGACACTGTCGTGCTGTACGACCTCTGCACATTCAATATTTATCCAACATTGTTGTTCTTGTTTTGAAAACATCCTGACAACACTTACTTTAGACCGCGAGCTAATACAAGGATCCGTTCTTCTCATCATTCCGCATGCGCGTGACGTAGGCAGGACGAGTCTTTTTGCTGAGAGGTAAGGTAGATATGTAGTTCACGTGTGGTATACGCGATATTCTTTGGTTTTGTTGCGTAGCGTTTTTTCAGCTGTGTTGCCACTATTAAAGTTCCAACCCTCGTATATATAAAATCAGTAATAAAGTCAGAACCTTAATTTCTATTTTACTATAGTAAATGAAACAAACCATTCTCTTTTATCTCGCCTTCATCTGGACTATTTTTACTTCTTTGATTATTAACTTCTTTAATCAGATGACCTCCTAATGGAGGAATAGTATAAAACACACCACTTTCATGTGAATTGATAGAGTCTTCAATACTCTGTTTAAAAAGATACAGAAAAAAAGTACAATTACTTTTCAAAAAATGGCATCTATAAAGACCTTATGCTTAACTTTCTAAAAGTTAATAGACACTAATACTACACGATCAGATAACATTTTCATCGTTTAATAAAAATATACATTGAAAATAAAACAATTTCCATAAGAAGAGTTATAATTTATTGTGACACTAAATACACCAACTAATTTAAAATTTCAACTGCTATTAAAGTTTCAGCAGATACAGTTAATACACAGAGCAATAAATATTACCAAAAGTACACAAAATCGTCAGGGAGAAATCAAGAGCATATCTAGAAAATGCATCATATAAATTCATTTCAGACTATCAAAACAAAATAGTGCAGCATAAATGAAAGAGGGTACTAATTTTCTGGCATATAATAGAAATTGTTTTTGCAATTTCTACACTTTAATTTTCATTTTCAGTTGGAGGATAGCTTTTAAAATTGTTAGCAAAATCTGACCGGTGCTAATGCCAGCAAACATTCATTGTTGATGAACTCACCCGTTCCCCTGAAAGTTTAATCATTTCTATGCAGTGAATTATTTAAAACTGCTTCCAAAATGCCATTAGTGTGCTGTGCTTTCCTTCATTTAGAGCTTTATTTTCAGAAATGTAAACATGTCGGACATAACAGGCTTTGAACGCTTTGGTTAGGTTAAGGAAGTGATGATCGGTAAAAAGAATTAAACCTCTACATTTGGACGTCATGTTGTGAAGGCTTAAACACCGTGTTCTGGAACATTATCAAGAAACTCAGGTATTGCTGTTCTAAGTAATGTTAAGACTTATTTAATGAATGAAATTTCAAGCCAGTCATTTAACTATGTAAGAATTATATTAATTTTATTAAGTGTTAAATTTTGAGTTAAACTTCCTTTCCTATCGTTTCTTAATTTCAACTTACCATTTCCAGCCAGAACATAGTTTTATAATCATGTCTGAATGAGGAAGAGCGGTATTTAACCGCAAAGTTCTACTTAGTGAAGGAGATACCAGATATTCTGGCTGCACATGTCCGCCTTTTTAGGCTACTCTCTCTCGTAAGCTATTATTACACTCGGCCATACTTTAGGCCCTTGATAGCTTCGCAGTCAATTAATGTTAAGGGGCAAACTCTGTTAGAATTTTGATAGCTTCGGCTCTATCTCTTTAGTTAATATTAGTTAAATTCTTAAGTTTCTTAAGTTCAAGGCCAAGTGTCGGCTTTATTGTACAACTCCAAGACGGAGTTCTGTTAAATCTTATTTTGAATAATAAAGGGTCTTTTAACCCTTTTCACAAGTTTATTCACTGTCTCAACTCAAACGATTATTCGCTTACTAGTTCTTAAGATTCTTCACTTTCAACTGTAACTTAGAATTACACAGTTGGGAATCCTAAAACATGATTATTGCAACATAGCTGATGCTGTGCAGCATGTCCCACACATTAGAAATTCTCATGATGGACAAATTATATGAAGACAATTAAGATTACACGTATATGCAAAATCATATTCCATAAATCTCCATTCAGCAAAAGTTTACTGTACAGGAAACTAGAATGCAGGAAGGATGGCATGTAATTATCCCATTAACATGGTTTCATCATTTGAGCACATCACAGACAGCAGCTCGCAACCAACTTTCCTGTACCTATCAGCTTTGATATCTAAGATCAAGAATTACCACTTGCTATGGCTAATGCAACTAATTTAAAATATTATATCTCTCAAATAAACAAGGAAAGATATTAACATTAAAACTTTTGACAAAGCAAAACTTCAAAAAGCAAACAGCACTGTGTACCATTGCAACCACTTTAGCAGAAATTCCCAAAGTTTCAGAATACACTAGACTCTGGTAACCATGTGCATAACAATTGTTTATGCAACAATGCACATGACAAATATTCAGTTTCCAATGGCAGCATTTTCATATCTCATCTTTTTGTTGCATTCCAAGTTCCAATGGTTTTTATAGATCAATTATGATTTTTGCCTTGAACTCGAGATTTTAAAATATATACTTGTAGGACTTTTCTGTAACAGAAAAAGGGGAAAGTTAAATTTCTGGAGGAATGCAAAGTCCATGAGAAGAATGCAAAGTCCATGAATGACTTGGATCCTTCATGGACTTTGCATTCCTCCAGAATGACTTGGATAACTTGGATGCAAAGTCCATGAAGGCCTATTTGAGGTCTGGCCAGTTGTTGAAGGATTTCCCATGAAGATGGTTGTCCCCGGAATGGAAAAGGTGGTAGTCTGTTGGTGCAAGGTCTGGGGAGTATGGTGGATGAGGTAGTGTCTCCCAGCCCAGTCAATGGATGGTGTCCTTGGCCTGCCGAGCCACATGTGGCCTCGCATCGTCATGGAGGAGGAGCATACCCTTATGACTGACCAATGCTAGCTCTTTATGCATCAGTGCCTGATACACACATTCTAATTGCTGCAAGTACAGGCCTGCCATGATGGCTTGGCCCACTGACAGGAGCTCATTAGTGCACCACTTGTTGACTAGTGCACCAGATACACAGCATGATCTTGCGTGGGTGGAAAGAGGGTCTCGCAATGCGAGGCACAGGGTACCGTGGTGACAACAAATGTCTGGAAGGCCTCAGTGTGCCATACTGGGCCCTCTTTTCATCGCTGGTGAGTTCTCGATCAAATATGGATGGATTGAAGTACGGAGTAAGCAATGACAAACAGGCAATGACATGCTGTTGCTTGTTTGCATCGAACAGTGAGAGGGGTACCAACTTGCTCAGCTTGTATGCCTTTCCTATACAGTGCAAATGGAGACTGATCATTTCATCAGATACCTGGAAGTGTGCAGCAAGCTCACCACATGTTTGGCCACTGTCACTCTCTATGGCTGCTCTCAGGGCCTCATTCTCCAGCACTTGTGGCCAATCACTGTGTGGTACATCACTAAGAGATATATCCCCTGACCTGAACTTCTGGAACCATTGCCTAGCAGTTCGTTTGTTAATGGCATCATCCCCCAAGACCTGGTAAATTTGGCGCCTTGATTCTGCTTATGAAAAGCCCATTTTAAAATCATACAGCAAACAACTCCGAACAAGCGCCTTTGACGCATCCATTTCAATCAGTTGCTGTGTAAGTTACGTTTGAAGTACCAATGCAATGTGCTTTTATACTCTTGCTCAATGTCCGGACTCCTATCCTAACACTTCATCGCCAGGTTTGGTGATTATTTTTATGTTTGGGTTCACTCTTCCAATGTCATAACGGCAAGAACTTTCTTCGTTACCTTGTACTATTATTACTACATAATTAATATAATTGCTAGACATTCAAATTCAGTGATTCCTTAATTCCTTTCACAAGATTTTAATTTATGAGAACAAAAATCTATGAGTGTAATGTACAACCTGGGTATTCTTGTTTCAAAACTGCACCAAATGATACTGACTTTATTCCATACCATTTTTAATATCTTCAGAACAGTGTAAACCATAATGATTATGTAATACAAAGTCCAAGATTTGGAATCATAGAAACTTCAACAATTCCGAATTTTAGATCATTATTTTAAATCTAATATGATGGCATGCAGACATGGCAACATTGGGGCTTCACCACTTATTTAGATCAGATAGAAAAATGCTAATCCCACAGGGCTGGTGCCAGAGCAGATGCAACCACACCAGGTTTAAAACGTAGGGGCGCCAGGAAGAGCAGTCACACCAGGTATGATAATTTAGCAGCAGCAAAATTTTATAATTTTCAGGAGCAACAAAAATTACATGTGGCATAATTTTTAGAGTCTGAGAGAGGCACTGGACAGAAGAAATTAGAGGCAACAAAATTTTCAGAATTTAAGGAGATGGTACCAGAGATTGCACAGCGAAGAAAATTTGCTTAGCATCGGCCCTGCCCAATCACAACCACTCGAGTTGAACGTGTAATACAGCACAATGCCAATCAATGTATTGTTATTGGTCATACTTGAACTCCCTAGCCACCAGGTGTTTAAAGTTAAAAGTGGGAATTTCAGTTAGTCCAGTTTCAATTAATCCCTTTTATAACACACCTGCTTCCTTTACTAGACCATTTAGTCACACACTCTCTCTATTACTAGACCATGTAAGGGTTTTATTATTTATTTTTATTTTTGTGGATCACTCTGGATATTAGACATCTTGCTTTCAAATTTTATACTGTATTAATGCATTTGCGATGTGTAGCTCAGTTACCAAACCAGTCTCTCTGAAATGGAGTACGAACTTGTGGGGATGAGCAATTTGTGCTGCTAAGCCTAACTCTGGGAAAAAAATTTGCATAAAGTGAATTTATCATTCAGCTGTTCCAATTTTTGTTACATTATTAGAAGAGCACTCAAGTAGTCATTAGAATTAATTTCAAAGTTTTCTATTTTCCTCACAAATTTTACAAAAGAATCAATTCTAGAGTAATAATATTTGACTTACCTCAAATAAATTTATATGGTAGAAATATCCAATCACAGACATCTTATAGTACAAAACAATAATAAAAATATAAGTTATTAAAAGCCTCTCATAAAAAAACCAGCATATATAATTTTTAACTTACCTCAAATAATATATAAACAAAAATATATGTTCATATTAAAATTGCTACAACTATCCCTTTCCAATTCTGCAAAAATATCATCACTCTCATGTGTGAGAAAAGGACTCAATTATCATGTGTACTCTTCTTTTGTTAAATACTATTTTTGTTTTGCCATTTAGGTGTAAAAATATTTCATTAAATGATACAAACTATCTGTCTTAATGGTAGGAAGAAAATCTGAAAGCTATAAATAAAACTTTTAAAAAAGACAAATAACATCTACCTCGCTATATCAGCGAAAACAAAAGGTATTAATGAGGTCTGATAACACATGCATTTGTTTATATAAACGTAAAGAGCCATTACATCACTCAGCACCCAAGAATTTTGCTCTCATTCCGAAAGAGAATACCAAAAAATAAAAAACAATGCATAGAAATGAAGGTCAATAACATACTTCACTTTTAATAAATTTCACCATAACAGACATACAACATCTAGTTGTAAAAAAATACTAATTAAATGTTCTATCTAAAATGTCATATGTGGTACACCCTGCCACAGAGTGAGTTAAAAGCTGATTCATATATGACACACCTGGCCATGAGAAAACGTTTGCTGATGATGCACATATGAGACGCTTATCCAGAATGGGTTAAGGGTTTCATTTTTTATTCTTCTACCATTCCATATTTACAGTACAATCATACATCTAATAACAGTAATAAATTTACAAATTGTTTGCAAGTTTTGGATATTTATTTATTTATTTAGTCTAATTTTTGCTCCTATGATCACGTAACTTATCCAGGTATTTCTCAAATCTGTTATAATTTTGGTAGCCTTTTTCATATTCAGTTTTATATTAACAATATTTTCTTTAATAATTATCAAAGATTATTTACTTAGTTTTATGTTTTCTGATAATTAGATATATATTCTTTGCAGTTTTATGCCATGATACTCAATGCATTTCTATACTGACATTCTATTTTAAAACTTATACAAATCTTTTAGAAAGTTAGACTGCATTTTTTAATAAACCTTGACACATTCATTAGACAATTTAAATACTTGCATGAAAAAATATAAATCAGCAAATAAATTTAACAAGTATATCCTGATACAGGATACATGTAGGTAATTTGTAACAATAAAATGCATTAAGTCTATGTTCTTTCTGAAATATGCACTTGAGAAGATCCTTTTCCGGGGGGGGGGGGGCTGACTTGTATTTATATTACATATGGGAATATTATAAAAATAGTATACAGCAGCACAGTGCCCGGGATCAAACAATGGATACAACTAACCAGCTGTTAGCATATAACACAGAAGAATGGATATTAACAAAGTTTCTCAATAAGAATAAAAAGAAATAATACATGACTAAGGAAAAAACTAGTTTTATTTTCTTTTATTAACTAGGTTTCCAGAAAGCACAATCTGGAAAAATGTCATGCCACTTCAAAAAACTTCCTTACCCAGACCCCCAACAATGCCTTTTTTATAGTTGTTTTCTCACTGTCTCTTATTCTCTTAACAGTAATATTTGGTTCACTAATAAAAAGTTGATAGAACAAAATTATAGCTAATCCTTTATAACTTTGACTAAATGGATAGACACAGAAAGTACAAATTTATAAACAGAAAATAGTGTCACATGATAGAAAAATGCAATAAACAACAAAATAACATACATTCAATATTCAGATAAATTTATAATCAGCTACTACAGACCTTTACTGCATCTTCTTTAAAATCAGCACTATATACTTCTACAAATTTCCAAAAGCCAGCTTTTAAGTCATCCAATGACTCTTCAGACCCCTCACTTAATTTATATCTGCGAGGTTGGAATTTCTGTAGAAAGAAAAAAAAATTCACAAAATATAAATTCTCCATTCTTAAAAAAGTATAAGAAAGTTACATTCAACAAAAAGTCGCCGTAACAGTTAAAAATAAAAGAGAAGTAAAACTGGCATATATAAAATGTTCATCATACATATTTACAGGCAGGATACAAAAGCATAAATGAGTTATTTTAACATATAATTAACCCAAATATTTCAAGTGCAACTCTAACTGGGGGGGGAGGAATATGCCAGTGGTTCTTTAAAGAGATACAAATAACACATGCAAAAATTGTATTCTACAAGGATGGCAATGCAATGTAATTTCTATTGTATATTTAATTTTTACCAATACTCAATCAAAAAAATACCTATAATCGGTAATTTATAGTTTATCTAAATAATGGTTCGTAACTGTTTAATTTGCCTCTAAGAGATTGGTATAAGGGAAAGAGGGGCAAAAGACCTCTTAATCCAATCCCCCAGGAAAGTTTCCTTTAAAAATCGGATACAACTACACAGATTTATACTGTCACCTGCTAGGGTCCCAAAGCTTAAGCCAACGAAAGATGCAATCTTTTTCCCTTAGATGTGATAAAATTTACAGACTTAAACCGATGTTCCTCTGACACAAGTGAAATAAGTCATCAAGGGAAAAAAAAAGGTACAATTCTAATATACGCCCTAATTTCACCAAATGTGGCGATATGTGTTCTACACTTGTTTTTGACACGCTTGTGTTGTATAGCAACCCTGTTGACATTGAAAAATCTTTCGCTGGAGCTCGTTGGTTCGCGTCTGTGTCTGAGAAGATATGGGGAAAGATAAAATGGTAGAAGTTAAGACACAATAACACGTTGAACAAATACTAATTCAGAAGTCAAACAACAAGAATCAGCATTATATTTTCAAAATTTTCACAGGACTAGTTTCGATGGTTTTACCGAACCACCATCTTCAGCTGCAAAACCACAAATGAACAAAAGAGGAAATAATGATTAGATAAGATAAGAAAGCCTGGACACTGTCACAATTTTGAAAATATAACACTGATTCTTGTTGTTTGACTTCTGAATTAGTTCTTGTTGTTTGACTTCTGAATTAATGGTAGAAGTTGTTGAATTGAAGTTTGGCAAAAGGAAATATCATTGTGTCCATCCTGTTGATGGGGAGTGGGTGTTTGGAGGAGTGGAAAGAGGGTCTGGGAGATTATTCTTAGTGGCTGTGCATGATAGAAATAGGGATTTGTGATTATTTGTGATTTTATTTATTTGTGAACCACAGTATGAATTTTCTGGATAGTGTGCCTGGCTGTCATATAAATACGATAGTGTCATATAAATACGATTATTATGTGGCGGCACGTTAAAGGCGGTATGAAATTGGTATTTCTGCTGTTCAAAAAAGCATTAATTCATGGTAAGTGCATTTTATTTTATGCTTGTTCTTATTTTGTAGAATGTTATGTTCATTGTTTCCTTAGTATGAATTTCTGTCGTTATTGTTCTTTTTTTTTTTTTTTTTTTGAATTGTTTGAAATTTATTTTAGTTATTTTAGTTTATTTTGTAGATTAGTGTGTAGTGTCTAGATTGTGCAATTCGTAGATGTTTTTTAAAGTTGAAACAGAAAGCTGTGTGTGTACATGGTATTCTTTGAAATTTATTGTTGTTATGTTAATTTATTAAAGCAAGGTGTGAGTAGTTCATAGATTCATTAGTTGCCTAAATTGTGCAATTTGTGGATTTTTTTTTAAATTTTAAACAGGATGCTGTGTACATGGTATTCTTTGAAATTTATTGTTGTTATGTTAATTTATTAAAGCGAGGTGTGCGTAGTGCGTAGATTCCTTCGATGCCTATATTTTGCAATTCGTAGATTTTTTTTAAAGTTAAAACATGTCACTATGAACATAGATTCTTGTCAAATATTTTTGGTTAAAAACTTTACATTTTTGCTATCTAATTTTTTTGTTTTTGTTTTGAATTTTTAGCTTAAATTGTGTGTTCAAAACGTGGTTTTTGCATGTGCGAAAACCGCGTTTTTGAAGACATTTTAGGCTTAAAGTTCGAAATGTAGACAAAAAATTTAGATAGTAATATGGAAGCATGGAGTTTCTCGCCAAAAATGTTTAGCGAGAAATTTGGCGACTTGAGGGCGCATATCAGAGAAATTCCAAAAAAAAAAAAAATTCACTGAAAATGTATATCAACAGAAATGCTTAAATACAAGGAAACTGCAACATTAGAATATGATTGCATATGTTCCAAAGGATAGAAAGCATGCATTGATGTTCGGTATCAGTGCATGCAGATAGATAAATGAGCATGAGAAAGACTGCATGAAATGCCGTTAAACTAAGTACTGAAAATTGGCACCAATGAATCATTGAAAGCACAATCCAACAATATATGTGTGTTGGCCAGCTGAAAAGAGGAGTTACAGAATGCCATTGTATAACTATTATGAAAACACATTTCTGATCACAATGTTTCCCAACATTCAAGGTCATAATCATTTATTTACATATAAAGATACAAGAAGATTCAAAAGGTCTTAAGGTAAATCGAGTACAGAAAAACAAATTATTTTTTATATAACATGCAGCTTTAAATGCCACCCATGGAGAGAACACTGTCACAAATAATATTATGCAACATGAATCATTATCCTTCGAACTATGCTGTTGTCGGAATCAGATGCTATTATAGTAATATGTACTGAAACAGATGACAGTTTGTAGCTTATGTGGCAGCAAATGAAAATGCATTGTTGCAACATAGTTGTGACACAACTAGTTACCAAATACGCAAACCACTTATCACATTTTTATACATATACCACAAACACAGTAAATGAAATCATTGTACACAGAACTCCATACGTGCTCTCAAAGATGCAACAAACTAAAACAATCCACATAAAAATGCAGGAGTTATTTTGCATCATGTTAGTGTCCTTCAATTAAGCGGTAAGCATCAAGGGTTCTGAGCACTATATGGCTTTTAAGGCACTCTCTGGTTTTATTCTTCAGCAAGTTTCTTTCTAGCTTTTACTTTGTAAAAATTAAAAATATCAGATAAACATTATTACAACATAAGCAATACCTAGAAATAACATCTATTAAAACAAACAAGTTGCATTCAAATTTTTAAATCCACACCTCCTTCTGTTTTGTTTACACAACATTACTAAAAACGCACGTCATATCACCGAGCAAGCGCACAAGCCCAACTGTTATAAAAAATGTCATGCATTTACATTGATACACGACAGTGGGTATTTATGTGAAGAAACTTATACCTTTTCCACACGCACTGGATCCAATCACTGAGGATCAATTACCTCATATATATAAAAATTGTGCATGATGGTTTTATAAAAAATATGTTGCACAGACAGAATTTCAAGCATGGTTATCTTCATAAACTTGCTGAGTGGTACAGGATCTTAGATATGTGGTGAAGACTGGTTTTTAAACAGCGTGTATTAATTGAGTTTGCATAATTACTTATTTTAGTCTGTATTTTCATAAACTTACATTCATTAAGATGATATTTACATTATTAAAGAAGTTAAGAAAGCAAAATATCTTAAAGTATAAGCTAATATATGCCAAGTTTCAAAACTTCTGATGACCGGATGAAGCCGGTCATAATACTCCAGAGGGTTAATATGAACTTTGTACATATGCATGTCATGAAAGCCTATGAACCACATGCCCTGTGTTGCCAACAGTGATTCACCATAAATGTTTGCATTGGCATCACTGGAAGCTGCTTAGGCCACACTTTCTTCCATAATTACTAGGAATACCTAGTTACAAGATAATCCAGGAGAATCAAAACTACTACATGATATTCCTTTCGGAATCCCTGGGAAGCAGTACATTTTCTCTAGCAACTCAGCAAATAAGTACAGTCAAAAGTCGTTAATTCGGACACCCATAATCCGGAATGATCTATAATCTGGACCTCAAAGCTACAAACTTTCTGCTAGGCGTTTACGCGTGTGCGTAAGACATTTACGGCTGCAAATATGCGTGTGCGCATGCGCATAATACATTTACGCATGTGCGTTTAATGTATAATGGACGGTATAAGCTAAGCTAAAATTATCAAATTCAGTTAATGTTGCAGATTCCGTTGTTCCTTAATTTTCGAATTGGATATGCCTTATTATTTTTTGCAGATTGTTAGAGCAATTTTATAAAAGTAAGCTTGAACTTTCGATTATGTCAAATAGAATTTCCGATATATATTTACTAATATGTAAAGGATCTACAAAGCGAAAGTATGTTTCGAAATCCGAAATCTGTTTATCAATTTCACACTGCTCTGCCGGGGGAGAGGAACGCCGCAGCGCGCAATGAATTGGAAGTTGATCTGTCAGCACTATCCTTATCTTCAGGGCAGATGTTTTTATTTTATTTGGCTTATAATTCCTTACTAAATGTAGTATTTCATCTCGATGTACTCTGTCTTTGATATGATTTAAATCAAGTTCCTCGTCATTATAATTCGCTTCCGATAGTGAAGAAAGTGACACAGAGGTTATTGAAAACGAAAAAATTTCGATTAACAAATTAGTCGGTATTCTCGACACAGCAGCATTATTATAGGACTTGAACAGCGAAACTTTGTAACTAAACAAGAAATTATGTCTGTTTAATAGAATTAAAGAGAAAGTATTATCACATGAAACGAAGCAACTTAAACAACTTACATTGAAAGAAATGTTTAATAAAGTAAACAAATAGATATTAAGCTTTTTCTTTTTGTAAATTTTGATACCCTTTAGACCATAATTGTTCTTTATTTCATAAATTGCGGTTTCATATTTTTAATTTTGTAATTTCTGCATGACATGTTACCATATTTAAACTGATGATCTATAATCCAGAAAAATCGATAATTCGGACTCGCCGGGGCCGGATTAACGACTTTTGACTGTAGAATGTATGGTGACATATGGCAACTTTTACCAGTACCTGCATTTGTCTCCTGGTGTAT